TCTTCTTGATCCGAGTATGCACTTAGTCAAGAACACAGGAGAAAGCATATCATAATTAAGGTATTCACAAATAATTGGTAGTCTTATGTATATTACAAACTGCACTCGACGGATAATGCTTTTGCGGTGAATAAACTTAGTAGATTTACAAGTAATCCAAACCGTGATCATTGGAAAGCTTTGACGAGGGTTTTAAGGTACTTGAAATATACCTTAACCTATGGATTACACTTCACAAAAATATCCTGCGATACTAGAAGGATATTGTGATGCGAATTGAATATCCGATATGAAGGATTCCAAGTCTACTAGCGGTTATGTATTCACCATTGGTGGAGCTGCTGTATCATGGAAATCAACAAAGTAAACGTGTATAGCTCGATCAACGATGTAATCTGAGTTTATTACTTTGGACAAAGCTAGAGAAGAAGTAGAATGGCTTCTAAATTTCTTAGAAGATGTTCCATGTTGGCCCAAGCCAGTACCTGCGATAAGTATACATTGTGATAGTCAATCAGCAATTGGAAGGACTCAAAGCAGCATGTATAATGGTACGTCTAGACATATTCCTCGTAGACACAACACCATTAAGCAACCGATCTCAAATGGCATTATCTCCATAGATTATGTGAAATCAAAAGAGAATATTGCGGATCCACTGACGAAAAGTTTGCCTAGAGATCAAATGTGTTGCCTATCAAGAGGAATGAGATTAAAGCCTACTACGTAAGAGTTTTTGCAATGGTAACCCTACCTTGTTGATGGAGATCCCAAGATCTTGGTTTAAAGGGACAACTAAGTTGTGAAAATTTCATGAAGCACTTAGGAAATTAGAATTCCTAACTCATTCCTATGATACTAAAGTGCTTTCTGCAGAGTAAATAAAGGCTAAGATTATCTTTTAATGATTCCTATATCTTGATTAAGTTAAGTGGAGTAGGGTAGAATACTCTTAATAGGAGGTTACCTATGTAAGTGTGAAGTGGGGCCGCTTCGATAAGAATTGTTTAAGGTTTGAATTCTTTAAATACTTATGAAACCAAGAAGGGTTCAGGGCCAAAATGAACCAAGTCATGAGAACTAAGTACAGAATAGGAAAGATATCTGTATGAGTACTGTTGTCTTGACTTACACCAAAGGTTGAGTGGTTCAAGACCTATGGTTCACCAATTAGCCGAGTAAGTTCGATAGTATTTCACTAAAGGAGGTTTAAGGCCAGAAGCCACCATCCCCGATGCAGTATTTTTTTGCACCCTCTCTATATTGCATCATATCATCGCATTTGCATATACGTACCTGAATTTCCATTCATGTGGGGGATTGTAGGAATTGGTTCAAATATTAAATGAAAAGGTGTGTAAAAATTGGAAAATGAAAAGGTGTGTAAAAAATGGAAAATGAAAGGTGTGACTACGTCTCAACTTCGACCAAATATTCGGACTTGATCCGATGATCAAATTACAAAAGTAAATAGACCAACTTATTCTACTCATCGAGTAGTTTGTCGTGGTATATTTGGAATCTTAAAACCAATTTCGGATGAATGAGAAATTATCGACCAAATTTGGAAGAAATAAAGTGTTGCAACTTTTCGAAAGGTGCATGTTTTGGCCAAATGTTGTAACTTTTTTGAAAGGATGCATGTTTTGACCCACACTACTTCATTTGCACCCTTTCTACATCTATAAATAGAACCCTATGGATATGATTTTGAGTATACCAATTGCATTGAGCATTCATTCTTCTCTTGCAATTCTCTTCTTTCTAATTCTATAATATTTCATACATTTCCATTGTAGAGGGGAAATTCTATCAAAAGTTCGTCAGTTTCTTATGATTTGAAGTGTTACTACCACAAGTTGTGAATTCATTATATCTTGAGAGACAAGTGTCATTCACCGTGAGCACCGTAACGAGGTAATTTGTCTTAAGGAAAGAGATAACGTCTCGCCTTGGATTATTCTCCATTTCTACTCCTTCTTAATCCTTGTTTTGCATAATCTTTATACCAAAATTCTGTCCAAATTTTCATTCATATAAATTGTGTTTTGATCACGCTCTTGCGGGTATCAAAAACCAACAATTACATAACCATTTTTATAAGTCGTCTCCAACAAAAATTCGTACTTGTATTAGGGGGTGCCAGTGGAGTTAGATCCCTTGTGATCCAGGTAAACCACTTAGCTATGACTTAGTTTATCTGCGTGGATTGTGGACAATAGACAAGATTTTAACTTCTTCTATTAATTAGCACTATCGCGTGGCTGAGGGATTAAGTTAACGACCTAGGGAAATATTTGATCCGTCCATTCATTTTGGTGATGCAGCTTGCAAAACAAGTGTTTGGTGCTTCAAAGTTAGTTGATACTTCAAGCACGGGAAAACTGGAATTTCTGAAGAGCTTGGGAACTAATTTGGCACTTGACTACACCAAGGAGAACTTTGAAGACCTACTAGAAAAATTCGATGTTGTTTATGATGCTTTAGGTAAGTAAATGTCCCAATTGCTGCTAAATTTGAAACCATGTTAGTATTATTAGCTTCTAGTAGATGTAACAATTCATATAGTTGAAACCTTCTGTTTGAAATACCCTTTGCCGTCAAGATCCATTAGTTTATCCTTTAAAAAAAAAAAAATTACACACACACACACCCCCCCCCAAATTAAGAAGGAATAATAGCATTCGTTATCTTCATCAAACTTTTTATTTTTACTTTTTGTAACCCCACCCCACTTCATCTCTCTGCAAACATCGCGATTAAAAAAAGGTTGAATTCTAACCTTGAGGGCCCCTACCGCCTTGTCCCTAAAGCTTTGTGAGAGAGGTAAATTACGGGATGTGCCCCAATATGTTAGAGAACAAGATCTACCTGCACATTGCGCCTACAAGTAGTCCAATTCCATGTCTCAGGAATCGAATCCCCACACTGCGGCTGCCATCAAGGCGTGAAATAACCTCACTCATGTCCTTTGCACCACTGGGCTATGCCCCGGGGGCCCATCGCGATTACATTCTCTCTAAGGTGCAGTAACCACACTCTTTCAAATTCCATATCTTTCCTTTTCAATCACAGTGGCAAAATCCATTGGATGCTCTATTACATCATGATAATCAGGAGGGAAATGATTGGTGTACAGGTAGGGGGTGGGTTAACTTTTTGACATTGTTTATCCAGGTGGGATCCACACTTTTGTGTATTTTCTGTAAATTTTTTGTAGGAATAAATCTGTACACCAATCATTTTTTGCTGTAAATGTACTTCCGCCCAAAATGAAATCAAAGCACTTCAAGATCCAAACAAGCCCTTGACAAAGCAAAGCAACAAATATTCACCATTGACATAATTCAAAACATACTTCTGAAACTTGTCCAAGATCAACTCCAATTAGGGACGACAATTCGGTGTGCCGGTTCGACCCGAAAAAAGTCCGAATAAGCCTTGCTCGAGGGTCTGTGGTTGAGCCCGAGCTGGCCCGCGGCCTTAAAGAAAAAAGAAAAAAAACAATTCGACTGCCTCTTAAGGCAGCATTTAAGAGGCAGCCAGCTGCGGCTACCTTAAAAGGCAGTTTACTTATTAATTTGAAAAAAAAAGATAGCAAAAAATAAAAGCGAGTTTGTCTGGCTTTGCTTGGAAAGGTCTAAGTCGAAAGCTCTAATCGAGGCTAATTTTTTTGGAAGAGCTTTGGCTCGGGCTCGAAAAAAAACTCACACATTTTACCCGAACCAAGAGTTTCGGCTCATTGATATCCCTAACTCCAGTGTCTTCTTTTTAGGCAATGGAAGCCCAGGTAGTCTGTGCCTGTGTCCTTATCAAAAAAACGGTTTTGCTAGTGCTACATCGGGGTGTACCTAATGGTGTACACCCCACTCACATAGGCGAAGGACCCATTCGAATAAAATATCATTTCTTTCACATGGATCCCACACCCATGTGAGTGGCGTGTATACCATTCGCTACACCCCATTATGTACCACTAGACAAATTCTTCAAAAAAAAAAACAGTAAATTAAAATTACAAAATTAAATGTGACCATTTAATAAAACCCACAAAGTAAAAGTAGACCTAGGGCCCCGTTTGGTACTCATTTTTTTCAAAATACATTTTTCTCTCCCTTCTTTTAAACCATACATTCTTTATTAAAATAATATTATACGTAAATCAAAAAAATTTCTCATTTTTCAACCACACATTTCCCATCAATTTACTATTCTAAAATGCATTTTTACATGAAAATGAGTCCCAAACACCCTCTAGATATTGAAAAGGGAAGATATGGAGATTGTAACACGATGGTGTCAAAGAAGGAGGAAGTGGGATGGAGTCGGGACGAAAATAAAGTTTTAAATGTTTGAGATTGTAGATAGCACATATAAAAAATTTGGGCATAATTTACCAAAAAAAAAAGTTTGCGTACTACAATTGCAATTATTTCCTTTTTAATTTTGACCTCTTTTTTT